CTTTGCACACTATATTTTCATGTCACAGGCCATATAAAATGAGCTGACAGACCAAACTTGGCCCTTAGGCTGTATGCTGTGCATCTCTGATTTAGACATATCTTGAACCAAGAAACTCTTTCAACTATTTTTACAAAAATTGACTAAATATATCAAAATTTATAGCACTTTGTTTCCAAGTGGATGTGCATAGTAAAGCACATAGGCATGGTAATACAATTACTATGGTATGGTAGCTGCTTGACTCTTCTTCTTTTACTATGACCACATTTCAGAAATTAATGACTTCAGTTGATCATATCTTGGGAAATCATCATTGCAGACATCATCTTTATGCCACACCTTGAGCTTGCAGACTGCATTTTTAGGTGTAATGGTGTAGTTCAATTCAGACACAATGGACATCATTGTGTCTCTGTAAGGTTGCAGTATTCCCTTGGAAGAAGTAGTGTCAAGAGTACCATGTTTTTGGTGTGTTTTTTTACTTCACTGTCAGAGCTGTGATACATTGATGAATCTTCATGTTGAATGGTATATCGAATCGATCAGGATAGCTATATTACAGTTTTTCAAGCATTCTTCTGGGGTCCATTTTATTCCACTTATCCTTGAAACCTTTCTTTGAACATTTCAATAACATTGTTCTTGAATCAACCTATAAACTTTTGGCATAAATTTTACCATGTGGTAGATGTAATGCCCAACAAAAAGTAAATTTCTCCACAAAATAGCTGGAATTTGATTTAGAACAATCTCTTTCTTCATTATTGAAATTTGGTGCCATATGTAGAATACTGCATTGTCTTGTGTCAACGAAATCAACACTCCTGCTGTCAATCAAGTCCACTGCATGCTTCATTGCAAATGAAACAATATCCTTTTGCATGGGTGACATTCCTTCATTTTCAGCAACATAGTGCATTCATATTCTTCAAACCTACCTCCCAAGCTTTCTAAAGGTATTCCAGAAGCTTTTGACCCTCGTTTTCTTTTGTCATGAAGTTTGGTCATTGTAGGCACTGTGCACAAAGATACAGTAAGTAAGTGTTCCAACTGCTTCTTTTTCTTCAGTATTTGCATCACTGACAAAGTCCTCATCATTAGCTTCATCAATCATGTCCTCATCATCAGCACTATCACTATCGTACAAATTTGACTCATCATCATTGCAACTACTGCATCCACCATCATCATCTTCAGAAAAGAATAGTTATTGTGATTTTCTTCCAAATCATCTGTTACTACACATCTCGGAAGCATCAGATTCTTCGTATCAGCAATGACAGGATGCATGTTGGAATATTCATAAATATGAATTTTGTTGTCAACAAATACAGCTTTGTACTTTTGCATCATCTCTTCTACTGATTTTTGACATATGTACAATGCAGCAACTGTATTCTTTAATCCACCATTACATTGCAATGATGTCCAGAGTTTTTTGAGGATATAACATTGAAACCCATGTATCATCAATGCTGCATAAAGAAGGTATACATTCAGTCAGACTATGGAAAATGCTATGAAAATGGAATACTGTTTTTTTGGTACGTTACAAAATCTTGTAATATCAACATCAAATCCTTTGTACATCCTTTGGGTGCACTGGTGGACATTTTGGTTGGAAAGTAATATGTTAACATCATCATTATCCCCTCGAAGATTGACAAAACTGCTATCCAATCTTGTTTAGAATCACTAGACGAGATATGGTCATAGTAAAATAGGCTATACCCATTTGTACTTGAATCCTCCAATTTATTTCGGTATTTTCGAGTGCAAGTCATTTATCCATGCCAGATAATCCCTTTCTTGCCATAGTGCTTGATAGTTTTCTCTTGAAAGTACATGGATTCATATATCATCTTGTAATCCAGAACTAACAAAGCTTCATCGGACTCCAGCCAATCCTGGATCCACTTAATTCAGATTCGCTAATACCTTACATGTATTTGATGACCCATAAAGAGCTTGAACTTCTGTCTACAATCCTTGAATAAAAGAATATAACATGGGTCAGTATGTTTTATGGTGAATTCTCTCACGTGAAACAGAAGTTGCACTGTTTGCAATTGTCAGACAATACAACTTCTGTTTCTATATGTCCAAATCTATAATTGATACTATGAGTGCATTGTTGGAACCAACATGGTTATCATATTCGTATTTCACGAAACTATCTCGTATTGCTCATGCTTTTATTCATCATCAGTTGTTCATACTATTTTCCATGGTAAGTCTAGATTATTGTAAATCAGTATGCCCAATGCATAGTCAACAGCCCTGCACGCCTTCTGATTAAATGATGTCAATGATTTTAGTATTTTCAGGAATGAAGAATATCCAATTCTGCCTAATCTGGATGGGAATTCTTCTAGGTAGTTTCTGTAGATATACTCCAAAACCTTCTTCCTCTTAAAGCAGGGGAATCCTACCTTTTTACGATCCAAAATATCGATGAATATGAATCGATGTCAATCGATGAATGAAGCACGAAGTATCTATGTCAAGTCTTGAATGTTTTGATGCCAACATTAAACAACTCTTTCACTTGACCAAACTTCAAAGTCTTACAGATCTGATTTAGATGAAGTTTTTACTGAATACTTTTCTCCGGAAGTGACGATTTTATTTTCACCATCTCATTCAATAACGTCTCATTGCATTTGGATTCTGACTGATGGATATTGTTTGCAACAACATGCATCACTCTGAGATCGTTTGGTAAAAGAATCGATCAAATACATTGTAAGACAGATACATAAAAACAGCACTACTCTGTATGCCTTATCAAGTGAACAAAATGAAACCGTGTTTCTGCATGTATCTTTGCTTGACAAGTTTCATTTTGTATTCACATCCATCCCCAAGAAATCTCAAATTACATGCACATCAATATTGCCATCACTATGCTTCTGTTGGTTTCTTTTCCTTTTTGACACTTTTCCACTAGAAAATGTATTCCATAATTCAGGGTTACATTCTACTTCATATGGATCTGGAGTTTTGTTGACTTCCCCATAATTTGAGTCAATTTTGTAATTTATTTCTCATGTCCATTTCTGAATTACCAGATGATTCATTGGCTGTTTTTCACTATGCTTTAGATATTTTTACAGCATTGGAACAATCTGTTGCATGAACAACCACAATGGCTGCACTTGAACCATATTCCACAATTCATTTGCATGTTAAATGTTCCATGAGAGTTTCCTTACTGTTCCCTACCACATTTTTCTTGACCTTTCCATCAGTTCAGTAAATGTGTTAAATGGCTGCAGTTCAGCTTATGAGAATTATCACAAAGTTATAGCAAAACAAAAAGAAAGTTGCAATGGGTTAGCATTTCTTCATCAACAAGAAAGACTCTTCTTGGCTCATACGATGTGTACTAAAAATTCCTGTTTATGACTAATGGGTTATAGATTCACATGTTTATTCCTGGTCAAACTTTTATCATGTGTATGTGTTGTTATTTGGTAAAAGAATGTTTAATCTGAATGTGTTCTCAAGTGTTTAAAGACTTATTTCTTAAATGTATATATTTTCCACTGTATTGGCTTCCAAGTACTTATTATGTATTCTTTCTGCCACCAATGAAAAGCATGGTGTTTTACTATTGACACTTGCATCACTTGGTAATATTTAGTTTCCATACATACATTTACATCTTTTTCCTCACTAAATACAGCCCTCAGTTGCTCAGTGGTAAGTCTTAAGGCTTATAATGCTAAAAACTGGGTTTCATACCTGTAGTGGGCACAGAACATATAGCCTGTTGTGTAACTCTGTGGTTAACAACAAACAAACAAACACTAAATAAAATTACTGTGATACATTAACTATATTGTTTGTAGGGTTTTTAAAAGCTATAAATTGTTTATGGCATTATTCTGAATTTGAAAGATGTCAAGCACCACTGTTTACATGTTTAAGCATGCAAGTTGTGATGCTTCATTTTCGATTTTAATAGTTTCATTAATAAGGTATCAAAGGAAATTTGGTACTTTACAAAGTAACATCTGTGTTTAAAAGTTTTTTAATTTATTGCCTTATAGTGATAGAAAGTAATCACAAAGATGAAAAATATTAGAATATGATTGTTGCAAAATACTTGGTATATGTAACTCAGCAGGTTCTTATAACTTAAAAAGTAATAGGGAACTTTTTGATACTTAGGGATAAAACATTACAGATTTGCTACTGAGAAATTTTTTTCAGATATAGATAACTATTCAGAGATAAAGTAATTTTTGTTTTAGTTTCTAGTTGCAACTAGCAGCTGTGTACATTAGTTATTAAAAGTTACTCTGACAACATCAGAAAGAAAAAAATTACATCCTTGTAGTTCCTTACATCACAGATTTGTAATTTTTCTTTGAAAATAAAGAATTTTTCACATTCATTTATGCTATAACTTCACAAGTATAAAATATTCATTTTATTCCTTACAATGTTTGGGTTAGTTGTGAATTGAAGTGAGACAACAAGAACCATTTAAACATTTATTATGTATTTATTGACCATAAAAATTAATTTTAAATGTAATAGTTCTGAACCAAAGAATATATGTTAAATTGCATCTTACTCTTTTTTGTTAATTATTTTGCAGTAAAAACCTATAAAAATGAGTTATTTAAAGAAAAAGATTATTACCAAATACAAAAAAAGGCTTCAGTATGTAAACACATGTGTTTTTATTTTTCATTTGATAATCCAAGATCTCCATTTGCCAATGGTTACCTAATTTTGTTTTTAATGGGTTTTTGTTGCTTGTCATTCATTCTTTTACCTAATAATTAAATAGAATACCAAGACTGAACTATGTTTGTTTTTTTAAAACAATCACTGAAAGTAGTTTCCATGAGTAGTAAACATTTGGCAAGTATGTATTAGAACAAGGCATATTCCTTCTGAAGATAATGCCTTTCTTACATCCATCAGAACATACAGGAGTCTTACTTAATCACTTTTAATGTAACAGTCTCGTTATTTTACAGACAAAGTTCGAGAGGCTAGTGGTTGTGTACTAGTTCATTGTTTGGCTGGTATTTCCCGTTCACCTACAATTGCTATTGCCTATGTCATGCACTATCTGCGACTTTCTTCAGATGTTGCTTACAGGTACATTTTTTTATATTTTTATGTTGATTTTATTGTTATTAAATGTACCAAGGTAGATATCCTTACCTCCAACTATTTGTGTTTTTCACTTCTCTTTTAAAATTCTAAATTTTGCATAGTAAATTCCAAATTTTAGTCACTTATTTGATATATTTTTCCAAACATCAGTTTTGAAAACTTCATCTAAGTTCAAACTCTTTGCTTCTCTGACTTTCTAAATTGAATTATTAAAGTGAGGAATTAAGTTAAGTAATTTTCTCAATAATTGTAATTGTTTAGATTGTGTATAAAGACTCAAAGTCATTATCATGTATTTATGTGATACATGAGGTGTTACAAAGACTTGGCACCATTACAATTGTTTGCAAGGCACATATTTTAATGAAAATGAAATGAATTTCAATTATAAATTTAAAAAAAATTGGATTCCTTTAGCAGGGCCTTACTTTTTACTGAAACACCAGTTGCTTTTTTGGATTCACACTTCTCTAATCTAGAAAGTTGACTGATATGGATATCTGAATAAGATGTATTTCCATGTTAACTGAATTTTCAGTCTTTTATATTATATAGATGAGATGGCTTACATGTTAGTATGTTTTCTATCTTATTTTCATTTTTACTAAATAAACATTCCAAAATCGACATTTTGATAGGATATATTTTCAAGTGAACTGAATGTCCACTTTTTTTTTACTTGGGCGAGAACTGGTAGAAACGTATGTGTAAGAAAGAGCACCTTCTTACATTTCTGTGTTCTTGGGATTATACAGCATCTTTTTTTAAGAATAAAAGACAATTTAAAAAAGTCTTGTATAGAAATTATTAAAGATATCAAGCCAATCATAAACATTATACTATCTATTGTTCTATTGAAAAACACACAAGTTAAATTATTCACATTTTTTGAGGTATACAAGAGTACTTATTTTTGTGTTTGTGTGCCTGATGTTAGAAGGTAAATTCAGGAGAAAGGCTGTATGCATGTTATTTTTATCACAGCCTTACTGCTAATAAAAGTTCTAATTTAACTATGGAACATCTCTAGTTTGCCAGAACAAAAAGATTTTCATCTCAAAAATGTCTTCGACAATTATCCTCTGAAGGTCTACGAACTTCTTTCCTTACAGCATTTTGACTTCTGATTTTAAACTTTATAAACCACTATTTTGGTAACCTACTGTGTAGGATTATATTGAATATATTTAATCCTTTCACAATGGGAGCCCCTTTAAACTATTTTCTGTGCAAGTCACTGTGTTACATTCAAAATATAATTAAACACCTTTATTATCAATATATGTGAATGAAATTAATATTATAATGTATGTTATGAGTCAAAGTTTGATTTTATCCAAGTTTTAAATCATTTATTTAAAGCTTAAAACTTCAGGTGTATTGTCACGTGACCAACAAGCTATATAAATTATGTACTTCAACCCCTGACAGGTGCTATGCCCACCTTCAACAGATTTTTTACCTTTATAGCCTAAATGTAGATGTTACGTAACTATGTGTATAGTCATTAGAAAGAGCTCATTTTAAACTCCAATCTAACAACAGTTATTTTGAAATTGGTGTCCAGTTGTTGTCTGGGAGTACATGGAACTGGCTGTAGTATTGTTGGCTGCTTGATCACTTATAACACTTCAGTTGCTTCTTACCTAAATATGTTATAGTTAGAGATACAGTTTAAATTGTATTTAGGCCTCACTATTATATTTTAGTTAATTATGTATTAATTATGCTTTAAAGTGCATAATTAAAAGGTTTAAACATTTTTTAAAGTATACATCATTTTTTGCATTCGTTCTCAAGGCTTATGATATTACACGCTGAATGAAATTTTGCCAAAGGGTTGTGCTCACTCCCAAACAAACTGTAATATGCCTTGAGAGCACTGTTGACTTGTGTTGATATGAATAATAAGTGGTAAAGGACGAGAAAGTAAAATAAAACATTAAAAATTAACTATATGTGAAAAGGAAAAGACCTGAAATTATAAATTTAACTTAAGGAAAATCTTCAAAGATATTCTATAAAAACATTAAAAGGTATGTATTTTTTTTCTACTTCCTAATTTTAATTATTTCATTGCATTGTACGTTGATGATAATAGCTAGAGTTAGTGAAATGGTAGAGAAAATGAAAAAACAAAATATAAACATTTACCTTAAAAACTTTTGATACATTTTTAGGAGGTTCTTGAAATTATACAAATAAAATATGAAAACTATAAAACGAAGAAAAATATTTCTATACTGAAAATGAAAATCACCTTGCACTCGAACTATTTTAACAGTTTGAGTGCAAGTAACTACTATAGATAAATAACATTTTTAGTAGAAAGACATAATTATAATAATGTCATCATTCTTTATGTACAAAATACTTATAAACTATAATAAAATCTTACAAGGTTTTGTGAGGAATGCTCAGAGTTACCATATATATTGTGCATATATATATGTCCTTCCCCAGTCAAAGTAATACAAAATGTATCAAGTCGTGCACAAATGGTTAAGCAGATTTTTTACTGCTTTCTTTTAGGTACGTGAAGTCAAAAAGAGTAACAATTTCTCCAAACTTTAACTTCTTGGGTCAATTACTTGAATTTGAGAAGCAACTACGCAATGACAGTGTACTGGATTGTAAACCAGAAGTGATGTCTGCACCACCAGATGGATTTAGACAAAGAGGTTTTTATCAGAAAGAAAAACAACAGGATCTTAGGCTAAGTCTGTCTAAACCTGAATCTCTTAGTGGAGAAAACTCACCAAGTGAAGATCAGTCTCCAACTGCTGCTCTTTCTAAACTTAGTTTTGAAAACCATGAACGAGACCCAGAAGAAAATGGTAAAAGAAAGCAGTCTAGAAATGCCTTAAAAGACAACAGTAAAAGAAGAAAACCAGGTAATCATATTTATCGCAGTGTCAGCTGTACTGGCTGTTATTTTACAGATAGTAAAGAAAACAACAAAGACTCTTTTACAGATGATTCAAAACTTAGCAGTTTAGTCCTGGATAGAACATACATTTCTGGTTATCATTTCTCAAGTAATATGTACACATCAGCAGTAACAACCAGAACTTGCATTGACACAACAGATGAAAAATTTGGTAACAGTCAACAACATACATTGCCTCAAGATTCTTACAGTTTAGCATCAGTTACATTGAATTTACCTTGCCCTCAACAAAATTCAATTATTGCTTTTGAAACAATCATTGAAGCAACACCAAGTAACTCTTCTTCAACTTGGATGAAGTCTTTAAAAGATGATTCTCACAATTCATCAGAAGAAAAACAGCTTGATTGGTGTACAGCTATTGAAGAGAACAAAGCTTTTGACTTTTCAAAACAAGTTACACCTACCTCTTATCTGTTAGCAAGAGATATTCAGTATGATGGGCAACATACTGAAAAATTGAAACACTCAGAAGAGGCAACTATAAAAAGTGAAAATAATCCCAGTCAGAAATTTGCTTATTTGCCAGTAAAGAAATCAGTGCATGAAACTCAACTGTTAATACAAAAAGATAATACACTGGAAAAATTAGACCATGTAAGTGGAGACTTGCCATTTGTTGTATCAAATGAAAACCCACTTGGTGAAATAACATTTGAAGATCCTTTAAGTCCTTCAGAAAGACATCTTTTAGAAGAATTCATGGAAACAGATGATCTGACAAATACAGGTAATTTTTTTTTATCTCAAGATTTGTTGTGTTTCCTTTTTAATTTTTTTATTCAACAATTCTTATTGCAAAGCTTGAGCACCATGATATGTGGTTTATATGAATCATTTAATAATGTTATAATTTGTAAAAAAAATAGTATAGAGTAACATAAACAGATATCTATATCCTGAGCTAACTTGGTTGATTTATAGCCTCTGCTTCTGAATGAGAAAGATCTCCTGTACAATGGCTTTATTTGTTATTTTCCCATGTTAAAACCTTAAAATAATTTCATTTGATGACTGCATCACACCAACTTGTAATGTGCTACGTAGAAGTTGCTTTATTCAGTGTTCTTAAAGTTACATGTTAGTTCACTTGGATATGCAACTTTCTTGTAGTGGAACCAATGTACATTTGCTTGCACAATTGAAAAATAAATCTGTAATCTATGTTTGCTGTTTTCAGTGGAGAAATACCAAAGTTAGATCTGAAAAAATACTGCAGACATCCAGGTTTTAAAAAAAAATCTTAGTTGTGCTTGCAGTACACTCAAGAAAGCTGTTTTATAAGTTACAAAGAATATTTACCAATATGTAATAAAATTATAAAACTGTATATTTCAGAAATTTGTGTGTTGATGGTTGGTGAAGATTTCTTTGTTCAGATAGTCAATCAAATAGATACAAAAATGTTTGTGCATCAGATTATCAAGACTTTATCAAACACTATATGCCATTATTCATAGGTGCTTGATATTTTATAAGCACAATGAACAAGACCTTAACTACGTTTTCAATTTAAAAAAAAAATTTACGCAACTTGTAAAAGTAAATTGAAAGCCAATAATATTATGATTTAAAAGATTAAAAAGTCATCTGACCATGAAAACAAAGTAAAAGATTAGCTAGAGAATAAGGTAATTTGGAACCCATAACTGATCATAAAGATTATATTTAGCAAAAAATTAAATTTATAAACATCAGAATATATATGATTTTTTTATTATTGTAGAATATATAAGTATGGAGAAAGAGAAAAAAATTGTTTGATTTAGCTTAAAATTAGTTTGATTTGTTTCCTTAATGAAAATCTACACAATGGGCTTATCTGAACTCCAAATTTTAGCATTGAAAGTCCATAAACCTACTGTTGTCCCTCTGAGGAGACAACAGGGTAGCTGTGCTTTGTCCACAATGGGGAAATGTAACTTAGTGGACTAAGGACCTATCACTACTTTCAGTTTTTTGTTGTTGATGTTTAAAGTTTAACCAAAGTATTTTTTTGCCCACAGTGGCCCAATGGTAAATCTGCAGGCTTATGATACTAAATCTGGTTCCAATACCCATGGTGACCAGAGCACAGCTAGCCCACTGTATAGCTTTGTACTTAACAACAACCAAACCTAACTTTTTTGTTTTGGGTGGGATTAAATATTGCCTTATAAGACATTATGATGAACTAGCAAACCTATGGCCCACATTTACAGATTCCTCTTTCAGGTTTCATCATCCCCTCCGTCTTTGACTGTGTAAAAAAGTATTATTAAACTGAAAAAGTTGAAAATAATAGTTCAACAAATTTGCTTGAACCACTGTTTTGCACTTTTTCAGTTTAATGATCATTCCTGCTATAATACAAGTTTAATGCTTGAACTACTAAAGGGTTGGATGAAAAGTTCTACGTTTGTGCAAACCTCAGGGTTGGGATTATTCATTTGGCACCATTTAGTGAACCCATAGGCCTGTGGCTCATATTTACAGGTCCACTATAATACAAGTTTAATGCTTAAACTACTGTTTTGTACTTTTTCAGTTTAATTATCATTGCCACTATAATGTAAGATTAATTTCTTTAACAAAGTTACAAATGGTAATTAGTAGGCCTACTTATTTGCATGTTTTAATGTAAATCAATGCCAAATTTCAAGGAATCCCCATAAAAGAGTTTTCACAAAATACCCAGGTTCTTAAGGGGTTGGGTGAAAAACTTTACTTTGTGCAAACTTTGGGACCAAGGCAGTTAGTTTGGTACTATTTAGAAGTTGGTGCAGCCAGCAGTTTAGGAGTTATGTGACACAGACAGACACTGAAACTTATTATGTAGATTTTTTTTACTTAAGTTTAGTAGTGCATAAAAACTGCATTTTAAATCTTCTATTGTTTATTGAAACAACAATTCAGTAATTTAAATTTTTTACATATTAAAAATTTTATTGAAATACAAAATAATAAGATTCTTGCACAGTCCAGGCAAAACCATTTCTTTAAATTACCTATCTTAAAATATCAAGTTAAAGACTTGTTTATAGAAAAACCAAGTGCTGTCACTTTTAAATATTCAAGTTGTTTCAAGTGACATTGAAAGAAAATCCTGGCTCGTGATTTACAGTTTAGTACAACTAGTAAATTAAAAGTTAAAGATTACTTTTCAGGTTTTGAAAAGCTTTTACAGTTATTATCGAAATAACCTATTTGGTTTAAATCTGGATAATATTTCAATAACATTAGAACAGAAGTTAGGGAATTAGTTTTAACTTCATTTAATGGTTAGAACTATGATGACCTGTTTTTAAATTTAAATAAGGAAGTATTGTCAGCACTAAAACAGCTTAGTAAAACTTAATAATATGTTGTCATTACGAAATTTGATAAAGGCAATAGTATAATTATTTTGGATAAATGGAATATTTGAGTTAAGTGTATTACCATTTTGAGTAATATAACCAAATTTCTGAAATTTGATCAAGATCTTACTGTTACTAGACAAATAGAATTACAAAATCATTAAACTATCAGTAAGTCATCCGGGGATTTTTTATGGCCTTCCCAAAATACATAAAGGATATCCACTAAAACCTACTTATACCCATGCATTGGTAGGTTTGTTTTGTTTTTTTGTGAAGAATTATACTAATAACATCATCATCATCATAGACAGCAGTACATCAATAATTCTACCGGTGCTTAGCTGCCACACAATCATGAATTATTAT